AGCTTTCATCGGATCACCCGCCGGCTAGCCACTATCGGATTTCCGACGGGTTCCTTCTCCTTCACACGAGAGGAAATGACTTGTTAGTAGTGCCCCAAGATCGCATCTTACGGACTCGTCTTCTCGGCGAATTCCACGACGCACGACTTTCGGCACACCTTGGCGTGAACCGCACACTAGCACGCCTCCGCCAGCGTTTTCACTGGCCCAACGTCCTTCATGACGTCACGATGTACATTGAGTCATGTGCAGTTTGCCACCGTAACAAGGGTCGATCTCGAGTCCCCTTCGGCGAACTGAAACCTTTGCCGATTCCTCGGGCACCACGCCTCTCCATTGCTATGGACGTGACAGACCCGTTTCCCCGCGATCGCCACGACCATGACGGTATTCTCACGGTCGTTGACYGTTTGAGCAAGTATGCTCGCTTCCTTCCTTGCAAGTATCATGCTGCAGCACCTGAGCTCGCACGACTCTTGCACACCGGTTGGATTACCAACCAGGGTGTTCCGGAAGATATAGTGAGCGACCGAGATACTCGCTTCATGTCGGCCTTTCGGACTTCTCTCATGACTGAGTCCGGCACGACAATGAAGCCGAGCTCGGCTCGGCACCCGCAGACGGATGGTCAGACGGAGCGAGCGCACCAGACTGCTCAGATGATGTTGCGTACGCTCATCCGTCCCGACCAGAAAGATTGGGTTGACCGGCTTCCCGACATCGAGTTCGCCTACAACACTTCGGTGCACCCAGCGATCTGCGTCACACCTTTCGAGCTACATCATGGTGGAGAGAAAGCACGGATCTTCGCTGATCTCCTTTTGCCACAGGCTGCCGACACAGACGTCCCTTGCTCTCCCGCTTCCGTCCGGAAGTACCGGGACTTGCTGATCAAAGCCCGCGCAAATATGCAAAAGGCTCAGATCCGCATGCAGCAGCAGGCTAACCGACGTCGACTTCCATATCCTTTCCGCGAGGGAGACCTTGTTTGGGTCCTCTCCGAGGAATTTGCGCTCGAGCAGGATGTTTCGCGCAAACTCCTTCCGAAATGGTTCGGACCATGGGAAGTCACTTCTGCCGTTGGAGACGACCCCGCAGGTCCTTCCTTCGTGATCAACATTCCACCGCACCTGACAGAGCATCGGGTCTTCCACGCATCGAAGCTGGCCATCTACACGCCACCTTCAGCTGACGAGTTCCCTGGACGTCGATCACAGGATCCGCCTTCTATGGACGGACATCAGGAAGTTGACCGAGTCATCACGCACCGCAAGTATGGCAACAAGCCAAGGCAGTASAAAGTCRCATTCAAGCAATGTGCGYCTGATGACACTCGGTGGATCTCCAGTACAGATTTGCAGACTTCTGCACCCCTCATCTTCGCCGACTATAAGAAGCGACGCCTTGCTAAGGACGCAGCTCGCCCTGCCCGACCCACCCCGGTATCGGACAGACAACTTCGCCCTCGCAGGTAGCTCGGTCTTTTAAGAGGGGGAGTGTGTTACATCTTCGACGCACACGGGTCCTACCGGACCCGACTTAGGGCCGGAGGGACACATCAGGGCCTAAAGGCCCGACCTTGGGGTATTAAAGGCCCTCAGGGCCTGATCTTGGACCAGTACCCGACGGGGAGGCCCAAACGGCATTATCGTTTGGGCCTGGCGGCGCTCTTGAGGCTGCCGCCCGCCGGTTGGGGCTGAACCGTCCATCTGGACGGTTCAGGGCATGGCCAGGCCTCGCAGCATTGAGGCCGGCCTCTGCCCCAC